AGTTGGGGTAAGCGTGAAAAATCAGAGAATCGATAACAATGCCACCTTGAACAATTGCTCCCAGGATCGCGAAACTGGTATAGAGAGCTCACCTTGGCTCGCACTGAATCACATCATCCGGACATTCGCCGAGAACACGATTTTTGAGGAGGTCTTGGTAGGTTTCAAATATTAAATTGAGCGTTGGCGACTTCGGTTCGCTCTTGGCTTCTTTTGGAGTCATGGGAGATGCCATGTTGTACTGAAATCGGCACATGATAGGGAGCTTCACAAATATTATATTTCAGTAAACCTAGGAAAAGCTCCCTTCCCCAATAATGACTTTGAAAAGAGCCATCACACGCTATCGCAAAATACGTGACATCATTTTGGGCCTCACCTATCACGAGTATTGAACACATAAAAATGGAGAGACGTTGAGACTGAATAAGTGATGATAGCGAAACGCTTGGATAAGGCATATTCATGGCAACCGTGAATACAAACTCATAGGATCTTTTAGGGAATTGTTATCATAGCATTCGCATCCTCAATGGATAAAGGTGTTGCAAGTTCCTAGAATACTACAGAGTGTCTCAAAATATGGTCAGGGTCTAGATTTAATTTCAATCGGACTTCTCGTGCGCGGCACAAGGTAATCCTCATCCATTTCTTCCGAGGCTTCCTTCATTGCTTCTTTCAAAGACTCAAAACTAGAATGTCGAACCCGACAGGCCTTACTTTCAATCGAGGACCTCACTGAGATGTGAGGTGGGTTTAAATCTAGAGAAAATGGTAGCCACTCATCAGTGCTAGCAAAGCCGGGAGACGGAACCGGATCCACTCTTGATGATCTCGGCTCTGTGGGCTAGAGCACTGTCTTGCTGGGAGTACCTCGGGTTGATTCCCGAAGTGGGATTATGGCCGTGTTTTCACTAAGATTACCTCAGATGTTTGGGGGTTGTTTTTTCCTGCCAGAATCGACGAATAACTGACGGCCTCTCATAATGGACGTGGTGCTCCTTCAAACCAATAATGGGCCGAATTCGTTGATCTGCAAATAATCTTCACTCACGGAGTAGCACGCTCGACATTTCTGGCCATAATGCAATCGTTTTGACTATTGCGAACCCACTATGCTGTGAACACTCTTCCTTTAGTAGAAGATATGGAGCAGTGCGTGTCTTCACTAAAACGGATCAGCAATCTTTTGCATTTTTCGACCCTCTGTTTGTTGATGTCGGAGATAAGATGGCATTCCTGCATACGATAGTAGCGGTTACGTTGCTTTTCACTGACCATGTGACCCATCAACGGCTTTCATCGTCCGCCTCCTTTGGTTCTTCTCATGGAGCGTCGTGGGTTGCAGTCAATTGGGGAACGGAATGTTTCACTCATCCTTCTCAGAATGGCTAGCCTTTCTCGCTCCTCCGTTCCCATGCGTGAAAGACAAGTCTTCGTATCGCACGACTTCACCTCTTGTAGAACCACAAAATGTTGGGTTGTCTCATAATTCCTGTCTCAATTTCGACACTTTTGTTTATTCAAGTTTTATCTCTTCTAGGAAACAACTGATCAATAGCATAACCACCATCATGGTCACTGATATGCGTGCATTTGCTAGGGAATGTTTGGAAGCTTTCCGCCCAGAATGAGTGGAAGCTGGAAGTTGAAGAATTTGGAGAGGTCTTTTTTTTTGGGGTGGTCGTTAATCTTTAACTTTTTCTGTGGCAGATGGGCGCAGGGGAGGCGATAGTCCGATAGAGCGATGCCAGTGGATGAGGTATCGTGGCCCTGGCTATCTCCCTCAGAACGTGGTGAGTTGGCATTGCAATGTGAGGTCTGGCGTTCATTTGGAGAAAGGAGAATCTGAGACGTTTCTGACGATTCCCTCGCAATACCGAAGCCAGCCTAGTTTTTTCGACTTTAGCAATGCTTGTCTTCATACATTGAAGTGGTTCCCAAACCAGGCCACCTAGCGAATCCAACAAAACGAGAGCGATATTCTCAGAAAACGGAGTTCGGGCTTTGGTTGAGCTGGTGCTTCCTGGCTGCGAGGTAGCCATCAGACGTGCCGCATGTTGTTGTCGCAGTGGACTCATGACTCATCTCCACTGGTGACCGATTAGGGAAGGCTCTGCTTTTGCCGTCCCAGAATGGATTTTCCCCAGATGGTCAGGCGTGCTTCTCGCTCATGGTCGGCCGGACCATAAGGTTTCCATCAAAACTTCATTCTGCAGCAGTCCTTGCCATACTGATGGCGTGTGCTGGTGCATCGGCTGCGCTCAGGTATCTGCTACAATACCCTGGTAGCAACGTCGGAGGCACTCCCAATTTAGGGTGCAAGGGGCGCTCATCAAAAATGACCGCAGGCCCAGTATGAGGTTGAAGTTCATAGCTCGTTTCGTCTTTGCCGTTGCGATTGGACCACTAGCTCAGTACCCTATCAGTAGCAGAGACTGGGTCAAACACAGCGCTGATCTTCTCTGTTGTCCTCCTTGCTACAGAGTTCATTTGAGGATCGTAAAGCATAATCATTCATTATAGTCACTGACCTATTTTTATTCCTAGTTGATTAACCCGTTAAGGGCTTGCGCTTCTGAAACCACGCTGTTGAGGCTCTTGAAGCATACTTCAACATATTAAGGCACAACCCAGCCAGACGTCGTGTGAACACTTATCTTCGGTATTTAGTATGAACATCTAATCGAAAATAACTTTCTTAGGTTTTGATGTCAGCACAACTGTGAAGATAGATATGAATGGGATGGTAAGAAAGTTTCCTGAAAACATTCGAAACCGTTGCTGCCATTGACGATCATATTTCCTTTGCTTATGAACAGACGTTTTGCAATAATCTTCTTTTATGGAACCATAAATTAATTGCCACCACGATCAGTATCTGAAATGAAATGCAATAAAAACAGAAGTATTTTCGAGAAAGAAATCCCAATACTATCGCTCCTCAACCGTAGAGCTTCCCAAGAGATGGTCCTTGTCGTATACGAGGCAGTGCCGAGCGTAAACATCATGAGGCCAGTTTAATACGTGTTGTCAACAGCAGCGAGCCTGAGACTCCTTTGAGCAGGCTAGCATACAATGTATTGCCGGCCACAGGAGAGCAATTTGTATGATCATAAGGCGAAGAATGAACCTGCTATGTGCTCGATGCGGCAGCACCGCTGCAGCTTTCTTAGCCACGCGGAGCCGGCGAGATTTCGCGAGCGTGGCCGTCTCATCTCACGTATGTTTCTCAGGGGTAAATACACAAGCCACAGCTCAGAGTCATTCAGCTATAAATAATGCGCAGCAAGTAATCCAAAGATGTATAGAATTTGACCCGAAGAGCAATGAGCTAATTACATCGCAAAGCCTTATACTCGTTCATGCAAGTATACGGTGAAAGCAGCATTATTTCGGGTGTGATCTACAAAAAAATACAAAATAATTGTCATCATGCGAGTTTCGCTTTGCTAGTATTACTCATTCTGTTGAAGCGTACATGAAGATAAAAAGAAAACGTCACAGTAGAAAATTCGTAAGGCTTTGATCCCCGGAAAACGGAAGCATGTCTGATCTACTTACCGCGTCGTTTTAGGTACCATCAGGTATGATGTATAGAAAAAATGTAAAATTCAGAGAACGTCATGCATGCGCGAAAATATTATGTAGATCATATAAGTTCAAGTATTATAAGGGTATGCTGGTAGTTGAGAGATGGAATAGGAAAACGAATAACCATAAGTGGCTTTCTTAGGCCGCAGGTAAAACTATATACATATGTCAATGTCCTGTCATGTGCAGCACATGTACATGTACATGAACAGTAAATAACTTTTTCTTGAAGGGAACTGAGGAAAACTGTTTGCCTGATGGAAAACCAAGGCGAAGTTATCAAATCACCCCATCCACGACAAGATTACAAGTTTATGAACATTATCTGTGAACAGCAGTCAATTCGTCATCACGCCGGCGAATGTGAGTCAAAGTTAACGTGACAAAGAGTGCGGATGAATCGTACAATTTCGCAGGAAATTTAGACATAGCGAGAGAAACATTAGAACAAGGGGGGGGGGAAGAGGATAG